AAGGTGCTACTAATGGTTTATTTATACATGGGGGAACCCACCCACCAATTTCAACCTCTGGAGAGAAGCAGACTAATGCCTGCACAGCTGTAAGTAATTTTTAGACCAATTCAATATTGACCCCACGTATGCGTATACAGATGATCAATCTTACACACATCACTGTCCAACTCGTTTGGAGGCAGCCTTCCTCACATCTCATACCAACTCCCCACAAGTTCAAGTTAAAAGTGTGTCTGTTTATACAGACAACTCAAGGGCCTGTATGCTCTCCCCAGTGCAGACCTGCACACAGGGGCCTGGCATTTCAGCTTGGGTCTTCCGTCCTGATCAGAGGCCCAAACCCACCACAGCTCTGAGCTGACCTTCCACCCGGGGGACCCACAGGTCTCTCCCGGGAGGCCGCAGCTACCTCCGCATCTCCCAAACCGCTTCCTCGCTGAGGCTCCCTGTCCAGGCCTCCCCCAGCGAGGAGCACCGGGTGAAACTGGATCATCCATCAGCTGCGTTTGGTTTTTGGAAGAATCCGGCCCCACGCACCAGGCTGTGCGCGTGCAAACATTAGAGAAAGAAAACCCCCGGGTCCAGACTCCTGCCCCTCCCCGCGGGGGGCTCCTCTGCCTCCAGGAATTTCTTTCTGCCAGGCTTCTTGCCCACCCCCACCCCCACCCCCACCCCGCTGGGCCCTCAGGCTGGCTCGCTCACTCAGCTCACGGGAGTCTGCCGCCGCCTCCGCGCCACCCCCCTTCCCGTCCTTCAGCCGGGAGGGAGCCTGCATGCCTGTCTAGACCGATCTATCACAGGCTCGGCAACAACCCCCGCGAGAGCGCGGGACCCTGCCCGGTGCCCTGCCGCCGGCTCCCGACGGCGGAGCCCGGGGAGCGTGACCGCCGCCGCGGGGCGGAGGGGCAGCCTCCGGGCGCGGGCGGCCCAGCGCCCCGCACCGCGGTGCTCCCCGCCCGGCCCCTCGAGCTCCCGCCAAGCCGGCCGCCGGCCGCAGCCCCGCTCGGCGCTGGGCAGTCCTATTTTTATCTGGTCTAATCCCAAACTGGGCGGGGAGCACAGGCGTCGTGCTTCGAGAACAAGAGACAGGCGAGGGAGGCGGGAGGAGCGGCGAGGCGGCGACGCGAGCGGGAGCGAGTTAAAGACACAGCCGGGGTGACCGAGGGCAGCAAGAAAGAGGGGCGGCGTGGGCCCCGCGGCGCCCGGCGGAGCCACCCCCGCCTCCTCCGGGCCCCGATGCCCGGCCCTTCCCACCTCCGGGCGGCGCGCTCCGGCCCGGGCCGCGGGGCTCGGCCTGTGTGGGAGGCAGAGGCCCGGCCGGCCCTGCAAAGGGCTGGAGAGAATCGCTAATGAGCTGTGCGGCCCATTGATCCGGAGAGCACTTCCTAATTAACTCTCAGTCACCTACTGGTGACAGCGCCTCAAAGGACAGCGCGGGGCTGTCCGCGCCCCAATCCGCCCGCCGAGCGCCGGGCGCCCGGACCCCGCGCACTCCCCGCACCACCCCGGGCGGCCCCGGTTAGCGGCGGCGCTCGGGCACACCGAAGGCCGCCTCGGATTAAACCTGGACGGCATATTAATCAACCCCCCCCTACTTCCTCCACGCGGTGAAAGCATGCCCCAAATAAACACGAGAGCCAGCAGCGCCAAGCCTCCACCAGACCCCAGGCCGGGGGCGGAGTGGGAAGGGTCGAGAAGCACACGTCTCCTCCGAGCGTCCAGGTAGAGGAGGCTCCGAGGCTGACAATTAAAGCGCCTTCCACGCAAGCAATTCTGTTGGCAAAACCGAATCCAACACCCTCGTAAGGATTGATTTCGACCCGCGGTGTCCGTTTGCAGAGCCACAGGAAGTGTCAGGTCGCTAGAAATACCCCAGTCTGTCTGGGTTCACCACCCACCACCTTCTGGAGTGGGCCATTTCCTCCCCGTTTTTGACTCCCAGGTCATTTTAGGGATCTTTCTCCAAAAGGCTAGCCCTAGAACATAACACCATTACCTCTCCCCGAGCCTCTCAAAAAAAAAAAAAATAGAAAAATAGAAAAGGAGAAAGAGGGAGGAAAAAAAAGAAAACCCCAAACCCCGAGCTGTCTAGTCTAGACACGGCGAAGCTGTGCGAATACCTATTTGAAGCGCACTGGTTTCTTTTCAAGGTTTGTTTTTAAATACACATACCCCCCCCTTCCATCCCCAGCCCCCACCCTTCAGACGCCGGCGGCGCGCGTCCTCGCGCACGGGCACTCACAGCCTCTAGCCTCCAGCCGGAGATCTCGGACTTTCTGGAAAAGATTCATTAACGGCAAATTAAGCCTCGCCTGGCTTCGGCCTGCTCACGGCCAGACTCCGCCGTCTCCGGGACCGGGGACGTGCCCGCTCGCTCCGAGGGCGAGCAGCGGGAAGCCCGCGGGGACCACGCGTGCCTCCGGCCGCCGGATCGCACACGGCGCCTCGGGGCTGCTCCGTAAACAGCAGGCGCGCCGCCGCCGGAGCCCCGGAGTTGGCGGAGGCTCTGCGGCGCGGCCCCCCGCCCGCTCCCAGCACCGGCTCCGCGGCGCCTCGCCCTCCCCGCCGCGGCGAGGATCCCGCCGGGTGCGCAAGTTCCTCTTCACCTTCCACCTCCACACCGCACGCCCGCCGAGTGGGACCAACTTCCTCCGGCCGCAGACTCGCACACGCCCAACAGGGCTTCCCACCAGACTCCCCGCTGCCCAGGGAGGGCCCAGGTCCTCCCCCCCGCCCTCCCTCTCTCCTCCCTTCCCCCCCCCGACACGTTCTACCCGCCCCCCCCCCGGGGGGCTCCGAACTTAAAACACAACCCGCAGGGGCGAGGCAGGATGGGGATGGGGGTCGCCGATTGCAATTTTACAGGAACATTTACAAAACAAAAGCGTCTGACCTGGCGGATGGGCGGACGGGCCGAGTCGGAACCCCTCGCTCCGGTCGATTTCCTAGTAGTTTTTTTTTTTTTTTTTAATCCACGTGATGCGTGCTTTGGGGCAAGCCAAGAAAAAACCCGGGACTCCCCTCCCGAGTTGGGCGGCGGCGACGGCGGTAGCAGGTCGAGCTCGGCACGGCCGGGGCGCCTGCCACACACCCTGGCGCAGGCACACGCCAAGTTCCACCAGGAGGAACGAGCGCCCCCGGAGAGGCGAGACGAGGCGGCGGCGGCTGGGGGTTTTTACAGTTCTTTCCCGAGTCGAAAAAGAAAGCAGACGGGAACCCGCCGCCCTCCCCTTCCTGCTCGCGAGCTAACGCCGAGCCGAGCTTCCCAGCTTCCAGCCCAGCCGCCCCCCCGCCCGCGCACGACTCGCGGCGCTCCGCGGCCACCGCGCTCCCGCGCACGCAGACACAGGCTGCAAACTTCCACTCGGCGCGCTCCGGCCCCCCCGGCCCTCGGGGGGCGGCAGGACCCCCTCCGCGCCCCTCCCCGGTGCCCACGCAGGGCCGCGGGGGTCGGCTGCATTTTTAATAAGTTGGAGCTAAGACATAAAAACGAAAGCGATCTTCGCCAAGGGAAGCGCGAGGCGAAAGCTCCGCGGGGGACACGAGTCAGAGGAGCAGCCCGCAGCGGGCGGGGGCCCAGGGAGGGGGCGACTGCAGCCCGCGGCGCGCCCGCCCGCCCGCGCGGCCTCCCCGGGGAAAGGTGTTCCGGGCACTGACCTGAGATCCCGGCCGGGGAGTCAGCCGGGAGCTGGCGATCCGGAGCTCTGAAGTGCCCCCTACCCCGAGCAGAGTCCAGGCGGCTAGGAGCCAGGGCCGGCGGGTGGGTGAGTGCGGAGAGGTGCGCGGGGTAGGAGGAAAGTGCGGCGGCGTCGGCAGCGATCGGAGATGGAGCCGCGCCGGGGAAGCGTGGCAGGCGGCAAAGTTTGCCGTCCCCGGCTGGCCGCAACCCGCTCGCGGCGCCGCGCTCCCTCGCCTCCCTCGCCGTCTGCTGCCAGCCGGCTGCCCTCGGGGTCGGCCCCGCGGAGGGGTGGGCTCTGGGCCGGGTGGGGGCGGGGCGGGGCGGGCTCAAAGCCTCCGGGCAGGTGGCGACAGCCCCGAGCGATCCTCCGGGCTCCCGCGGCTGGGCCGGGCTCGGCCGGGCTCAGCAGCTCCCGCGCCGCCGCTGCTGCCACCCGCGCTCGGGCAGGAGCCCCAGCGCCATGTTGACGGATCGCCGTGAGCGCCCGCTCGGGCTGGGTGTGTGTGTGTGTATGTGAGTGTGAGTGTGAGTGTGTGTGTGTGTGAGTGTGTGTATGTGTGTGAGTGTGAGTGTGTGTGTGAGAGAGAGAGGAGAGAGAGAGAGAGAGGGAAAGAGAGAGAGCGTGTGTTGGCCAAGTCGTCCCTGCGCGGCGACAGCGCGGCTTGGGCTCCCCGCCTGGCGGCTCGCGGGCTCCCCCTCCGCCGCCGCTCGCTCCGCTCCCGCTCTCGGTCGCGGTCTGGGCTCCGGCGCGTCTCCCCCGCAGCTGCCGAGCTCCGGCGGCGATCGGCGAGGAGCGTAGCTCAGGCTCACCTTGCCGCTGGGAGCCCGGGCTCCGTCTGCCGCCGCACGCCGCGATCCCAACGCGTCTCCCCTCCCCGGTTCCCTCCTCTTCCTCCTCCCCCTCCCTCCACCCGCCCTTTCTCCCTCCCTTCCTCCCAGCAGCCGCCTCCCCTCCCCCCGCAGGCGCAGCGTTCGGGCGACAGCCGCCCGCCCGCCGCCGCCTCCGGCTCTCGCAAGTTTGAGCTCCCCGGCCTCGCTCACCCTGTGCTGCGGCGCCGCGGCGGTGGGCTGGCGGAGGGCTGATCCCCCAGGACAGGGGCGCCGGAGCTGCCCCCGCCATCGGCGATCCCCCTCCGGGCGCGTTTCGCCTCTCGGGGTCCGAACCCCAGACCACTTGGGTGGCGCCCCCCCGGCCCCCGGCCCTCCCCTCCCCCGCTCGGACCGAGTTGGCTGCGCTCACCGGGGCTGGGCGCGCCCCAGCCCGACTCAGGCGGCGGCGGCGGCGGCGAAGGCGGCCCGCAGATCCCCAGCCCGGGGGATGGGGGCGGCGGGGGCGGCTCTCGGAGCCGCGCGCCGAGACTCCCCTCGCTACCCAGAAGGCCAGTGGAGGACCGCAATTACCATAAAGCGCCTCGCACTCCGCTCAGCCAAAGCTGTCAAACCCCAACGGCGGCCGCTGCCGCCGCCTCTTGCCACCAGCGTTGCGCTCCCCCGGCCGCCCGGACCCTCGGAGACCCAGCGGAGCCTGGCGAGTGCCCGTGGGCGCCCAGCCCCCGCCCGGGGCGTCCCTTCCTCCCGGAGGAGCCCTTCCCCGTTCGGCTGTCCAGAGCTGCCTGAATGCACGGCCCCAGGCACCGGGGGCCGTTCCGCCCTAACTCCGCGCCCGAGTTCCCCGGACGTTCCAATTGTGTGGGAATTGTTCGGGAAGGCGGGGGGCGGAGGAGGCAGCCCTCGGGGCACTGGGAGGAGGGAATGGGGGAGCACGGTAGGAGAGAGATCCGCCAGCATGCCTCCCAGTTCCTGGGCATTTCACAGTCTGCACCTCAGAGGGCTGGAGGGTCTGTCCAAGCCCCCCACCCTCCTCAGGAGATTATCTCCCGCGTTTTATTTTCCTTGGCAGGGAGCAACTTTTGGCTTACACCATTCGCCCATAAATTTCCACTCGGTAACGTTGTGCTGATCGTACAGCCCGCGCCCGCAGCAGTTAATTCAATTGACACGTATTGAGCTTCTCCAGCGCACCCGGCGCGGCGCTGAGCGCAGGGCGGGGGGGGGGGGGCGCAGGGGGGAGGCGGGGACAGGCAGGCGGGAGGGGGAAGCGGAGAGGCGAGGTTCCGGTCTCCCCGGAGCGCAGGGCCTCTGGGGAGAGCCGAGAAGCCCCAGTACCTGCAGCTAGCGGAAAGGGGTGGCGGTGGGGGTGGGGTGTACGGGCCTCACCGCACCCAGATCGCCTGGACTACGCGGCCAAAGGTGACCGCACTCCGATGCACACTAGGGTCTTTTCGTGCTGGAAATGGGGAGTCTCTGCTTCAGGACAAGATGGTGCAAGCTGCGTGAGACCATCCATCCGAAATGGAGGTGCCTTGTGAATGCACACGGAAAGTTTTCAAATACCCTGGAGTGTGTCCATGCCCAAAATAATCAAAAGCATCTCAAGTTGATTACTAAGTCAAAGTCAAGGCCAAAACCAGCTCTAGCTAGAAGATCCCTTTTAAAATGTAGACCTGACGCCGAGTGCGGGACTGGTGTTAGGTGCGATTTTATTTATTGTCTTAGTTCTTAGCAGTTATAAAAACAGCCCTTCCCAAAGCAGAAGTGAAACATCTCTACCGTTTGAAATCCGAAACTTCGGGCAGAATCAGATCTTCGTGCTGCAGGGTGCTTATAAGAACTGATGTGAAAGACAGGCTGGCCAGTGCCCCCGCCAGCAGTACCAGCCCGAGGCCCCTGCTCCCGGGCCCTGCCTGCAGGGTGGAACGCACGCTTTTCCCTCCGTCTTTCTGGGGGTGGATGTCTCTGGAAGCTAACCCACACATTTTTTTAATCTCCGGTAACAAGCAGAAAGACACCTGGACTATTATGCTGTAAAGCTATTTTTTATAAAGACGTTTTAGGGCCAGACATTAAAAGTTATTAGACTGAATGCATGCGAGTTACAGACACAGCTGGAGAAAGGCCTCTGGTTGTGTGTTGGAACAACATTTCTTTTTGAAGCGACTCCTTTTATTCAAAACAAATCTAAAATAACCGAGAAGGCTCGAGTTGGGCGCTTGTGGGGAAACTCTCCAAGCGCCGTTCCAGGCAGTGAGGCCGCTGTGCCGCTGTGGGCCGGCCTGGCGAGCTGGCCTGGCGATTGGGGAACGTTGCCAGGCTCTTCCGGCTCGGTCAGGCGGCCGCAGGGACGCTGGCCACGTGCCCAACCTTCTTTGCTCCCCTTCCCAAGCCTTCCCCACTCTCCCCCAAGGCACTGGCTTTTCCCGGAGTTCAGAATTGCAAGCAACCGTCCAGAATTTTTGGAAAATCCCGGAACCAAGCGAGAGTATGGAGCCTGCTGCCTCCAGGAGTCCGCGGCCCCCCGGGGCTGCTGACAAAGGGGCCTGTTTGTCTAACTTTAAAAGTCTGAGGGCTGAAATGAATGGGGGGGGGGGGGTCGCTGTAAATGTGAAGGGGCCTCCAAGAGGGCTGACTGTGGGAGAAATTTGATGCTGGAGACAAACAAGCCAGTAAATTCGCCTTTGACGTAATTTGCCACATTTCATACCCTTTTTTTGCAGGAGTCTCGCCTCCTAGGTATCCTGGTTGGGCTAGTGGGATTAAAGGGTTTCTCTTCCATCTCTAAGGGCACATTTTCCAACTCTGGGGGATTTAAAAAATATATCTTTTTAAGGGAGTCCTAAGTGTGCGGGGAGGGAGGGGGCGCCGCGCAGGGAGGTGTCCCTGACTCACTGAGAATTAAAACGTGAGGTTCTCCTGAGGTGCTCCAGGCAGTAGGGAGCTCATTCCTATTGGCCTGGTTAGCTGGAAGCGTTCCAGGGAGAAGCAGAAAGCTCAAGGGCAGTCCCACCGGGGGTCCCCACGCAAAAGGGGCTCCAGGAGGTGGGGACACACGGAGCCTGCCGCCCAGCCTGGGCCTTCAGCCTGCTCCCTCCCACCGCCCCTTGGGAGCTGCCGAGGGGTCAGCCCCTAGACCAGGCATCCGGCAAGGGAGGTTTCAATGGAAGCAGAGCAGGCGGAGAGCAAGCGAGTGCGAGGGAGGGGTGCAGGGCGGCGGAAAACAGAAGAGGTGCTTCTAATTGAGCTGCGGAGGGCCGCCCTCCCCTGGCCCCTCCGGAGGGTCTCCTGGTGAGAACATATGCCCGCACCCCCAGCTCCCCGGCACCTCCTGCCACAGGTTCTATCCGGGCTCTGCAACTGGGCAGGCAGGTTGGGGCTTCAGGGAGCAGCCTGGAGGCCGGCCACTCTCTCCAGGCCAGACCAGCTGCGGGGTGGCCCAGGCCTCCTCCTCACCTTCAGCCGCGGCCCAGGCCTTGGGGAAACAGCCAGGCACCAGGATAAGGTCCTTACTGGTGTCTGGAGGACCCTGGGATCCCCCATTGTGTGTGTGTGTGTGGGGGGCTGTTGGTAACACAGGCTAGGATCTAAGTCATAAAGCGCTGTAGGGCCCGCCTATTAATGTTAACCATTTAATCACATACACACACACACACACACACACACACACACACACACACACACACAGAGTCTTCCTTGGTTACTTTGTAAAAAAAAAAACAACAAAAAACCCATGGGCCCTTAAAACCGCCACTGGCCCACTCTCCCAAGCACAAGGCGTCCTGTCCCAGGAATTTGCTAGAGAGAAGCTGGAGGTAGCTGCCCTCCATGGGGGAAGCCTTTGAAGAGTTATTGGGGCAGGAGGGCCCAAAAGGCAAGCCCCACGTGGTAACAGCAGGCAGCTGCCTCTGGGAATTTCTGGTCTGGGCTGGATTAGTGTCTGGCTCTGAGATCCCCAAAGTCAGGGACAGTGGGTGAACTGCCATTTACACGGCGACGGGGGTGGAGGGGTGGGGAGGTGTTTCCCGCTGGGCAGACAGATGGGTGTCAGCCGAATAAGCATAACCGCAGGTGGCTGGGGGAGGTCCGTCTTGCACTCCACCTGGTCCCAGCTTAAGAGCCCTGGTGGGCCGATGCTCCCGCAGGTAAACCCGACCGCCATGTTCTGCCCAGGCTGCTTAGGTAGCAAGGGCCTCCAGCTCAGGTTTTACCCGACTGGGGGTAGTGCCTACCGAATCGCAGGGATGGGGGGGGGGGTGTCAACTACTGGTCCACTGACCCAGCACCCCGGCCTACAGCCCCAGGCATTTTGGACCATGGCTTCCTTCCTCACTCCCCAGCGACCCCTGGGACTGGAAGGATCTGGAAGACCCATCAGCAACCCTCGCTGGGGCAAGAAGAGAGTACGGTCCCCAAATACCTTTGAGGCCCCCACCAACCCAGGGGCAGAGGTGAGTGGCGTAGGGAGGAGGGTTGACTTGGGAAGATGGAAGCCAGCAGCAAAACTAGGGGTTGGCACAGAGCTGGGGAGTCCACTCGGCCTCATCCACGGCACTCTGAGCCCCCCCCACACACACTGCTCAGCCTTGGCCCCCGTGACACCTCCCCCACCCCTGCGTCTCCAGCCGGTTAGCAGCCGGCAGCCCCCAGCCATGAAGGGGGGGCGCAGGGTGTTTTGTGTTCCAAGGCCTGACAGAACCTTCAGTGTGTGGCAGAGGGAGGAGGCGAATGCATAATGCACAGCCTGGAAGCCCGGCCATTAGCGGCCTGTCGGTGACACAGACAAACGACTGAGAGGGAGGAGATCAGCTCTGGAGTTTAAATATACCAGCGGAGGGGAAACGCCATGATTTAAAAGTGTGTTTGCAGACACTCGCATATATTTTAATGATTTCCAGCAGGCCGTGTGTCCCGGCCTCGCACCCTCCTCCCCAAAAGGGGATCTGTAAAGGGGGGCGGTGAAAGCAAAGCCAGAGGCCTCCATGGGAGACCCACGCCAGCGTTGGCGAGATGAAGGGGAAGAGGCTGGGATACACAGCCGAGAAAGTGAGGCCACATGACCCATCCCCAGAAACCCCCCCCCCCCATCTGGCATGGAACCTTCCACCCCTACCGGCCCCTCTGCGCTGTACTAGGAAGGGGGTGGGGGTGGGGGGGATAAACCCTGCCAACCTTGTGCTCCCAGGCCCGCATTTTGGAATCTTCCTTTCCCAGGGCGAGCTGCCTCTTCCCAGGTTTAACACACCAGTGCGTTTTAGCAATTAAGGCGAGAAGGGGGTGGGGCTGAAGATAAGCCAATTTTTTTCCGCCGCGCAAGTGTGAAAGATAAGATAACGTTAAGCTGGGGCGAAGCGGCTGCTTACAACCTCCCCTCCGCGATTTTGATCGGTCACTTCTTATCTCACCAAAATGCTCCTTTGGAAAACTGCATCAAAAAAAAAAAAAAGAAAAAGAAATTAAAAGAAAAAGAAAAAGAAAGAAAGCTAAAGGGAAGCATTTTCATTGGGAAGTGACATTTAAAACCCACCTCCGCTAGGCCAGCAACCCCCTCCCCATTGCTCCCCAGGAGAAGTCGCACCTCAACTCCAGGGCCTCAGGATTTCTCATGGGGGGAGGGGGGCAGGATTCCTAGTGTGATGAGGCCGGATAAAACCAGATATGCACGAGGAGGGTTCCTCCTGCATCCAGCCCCAAGCTCTTGGTTACTGGGGGTATTTGTGTTACCACCGCGCTGGTGTTGAAACTACAGTTCTATCTGGGAGGGTCGTATAACTGTGTCAACACAAAGTGGCTGTTAATGCGAAATAATAAGAAACTGCTGATT